CACCATTTGGTATTTGTCAAAGCTGTGGACTGTTTCTTGTGAAGACATTTCGGGCTGCTGGTGCAAGTTCCCGTGGGTGTTTCTTTTAGAGGCAACTGGGCCCAACTCGAAGTGAGCGCCCAAGGATTTCACAATTATTTTTATTCAAACGGTTCCCTAAATTGCCTTGGCGAAAGGACCAACCATCGCGAAAGCTCGGTGTTCAGACAGCCCTTGAGGCTCACGCTGGGCTGCAGACTCGAAAACGTCCTCCTTTGACGTGACGTGTTGTTATGGTGCACGGGCTGTTTACTGGTTTCGAACACGCAGGGGGATTTCAAAAGCTCAGCAAAAGCTCCGCAAAAGCAAGATCAAAGGGGTGGCCGTTTGTGCATATGGCTCTTCTACCAAGCAGTTGCATTTTGTGAGCTGGAGCGCCAAGGTCTACTTGGTGTGCTGTACTTAAAAGCCCCCGAAAGGGTGCAAAGCCAGCCCGAGGAGCGCGACGAAGGTTTACAGCCAATCTCCACAGTGAGAGCTAAAATGGTTTAAAGAGACACCCGCCTCAATTTAATATGACTGTATGTCTATATATATATATAAATAAATCCAGCCTCCCCTTTTTTGGTTATGTGCTTTTGGTAGTGACGGCTTTCTTTGGGCTGGCCAAAGCCTTTGTGGCACGCCTCAGGCGCTTCAGATGCTCGGCTGCGGCTTTCCGCGCGGGCACCCGGTCTGGGCCGATTTGGCAATTTGCTCCAAAGGGAGCCTCCAAAAGTGGCAGGTTTAGTGGAAACCACCACATTGGTCGACTTTTGAAGGGCGACCCCCCTGTTATATTGTCGAGTTTGTGTGATCTAGAGCGTGAGATCTGTTCAACCCATATTTTGTCGAACTAGGTGCGAGCCCTGGTTTCGATTTGTTGGTTTGTATGTATGTGGAGCCACCATTATTGCTGGGTTCCCTTTGAGGATTCTGAGACTTTGTCATTGGACAGCACCTCAGAGTTTGTTATTCACATCATGACGAATGGACCACCAAGCATGCCTTTGTACGTGATGCGTGTCAAAGCCACAGACATGTGCGCTTTCTTTACTCTGACTTCTAAGCATTGGCACAGATACTTCTGCTGCATGCTTTTCTATGAGACTAATAGAACTGTGTCATCCCTCAGTCTGCTGCGTTTCACCTTCTTTCTTTGCCACTGAGCACCAATGAAAGGGTCGTGCCCTTGGCTTCTGGCATCCTGCAAGCCTTTGCTCATCAAGGACAGCGAGACATGGGCCAAAGCGGACGGCTAGGACGTGTATGTTGCTTGCTGCACTGGTCGCCTTGAAATTGCACCAGCAGCATAACATTGCGTTATGTTGCTTCCCGCGGCAACCTGGCGCATCGAAGCCAACATGCCTCACTCAAATTCTGCTTCTTGGCCAGTGTGCTTCTGGCTTTCAACTCGGCTCCAGCAACATCTTCAGAAGACAACCTGCCCTCACTTTAGAAGATGACTTCTCTGTTTGCAGGTTTTTAATACCGCAAAATTGTCCATGGATACACCGCATCTCAAAGACCCATGCACAACGATGCGGGAATTGTGGCCAAAGGCCCGAAGGTGCCCGATATGGGTACCTCATCCACAAAAACGGATTCGGACCCCCAAAAGGCATTTCGTATTTCTTGTTGGTTTGCCTCTGTCCATGCTCCAAAAGGAGTTCCTGAAAACAGACACCCCCTAAAGTTTGGAAGCGACGAGTGCAGGTGAGCAGCAGCGGCAGCGCATTACTGGGAGCAGCTTCTCAGACGATCTCCATGGAAGGAGGCGCTTGCTGCTTCGGGAAGCATGATTGTTTTTGTGATGATTCCTTTGGCCACAACGGCAGATTGCCAAGAACCCTGTGTATTATGTTTAGCATGTGTGGTGAGGTCAAGCCGGCTGACTCAGTCAAGCGAGAGTGGTAGAGCGTCGAACAAACATCCTATTTGCCTCCCTCAGTAGCTGGCACCTAACGCATGATCCTTATCGTTGTTTGAAGATTCTGTTGCTCTCCGCACGAACTGAGGGACTTTTGAAAGAGTGTGTGTGTGTTGGTAAAATATATTGCCATGCCTTGGATTTCATATCTGATGCCTACTGACCGCTTCATGACAAACCATATGGGAGTGCAAACTGAAGGGCTATGTTCTCCAGTTTTCGGCACGTGATACAGCCAGGCGACCAAGTGTGGAGCAATGACAAGCATGGTCATTCTGAATTCTGTTTAGAAACTGGGGTCTCCTCCAAAATTTGGTATTTTAGGGTAGAACCTGTTTTTTTTTCAGCGTAGCATCATCACGGTCAAAAGTTGAAGTTGGATAAGTCGCAACTTGCAGCACCCCCCCACAGCTGCTTGTTCCCGTCCAAAAAGCATTGGTTGGGAGGTGCTGGGCCGAAAAGATGGATACATCCGAACCCATGCTCGACGCTTGGCCAGGCATTGCCAAGAACCTCAGCGAGGTCTTGCGCATGGGCCAGGCGCCGATGCACCGATGCAGCCGCCCGCGGTACCTTGTGGGTTCTCAAAATGGTGGACCCCCTCTTGATTGGTAGTTGGAGGGAAACGACAGGGAAACCCAGCATTTCCGGGGACTTGCGTTTTGAGAAAGACCCATGTTGGCGTGGCTCAAACTTACGGACCCAGGGGACGGCAGATTTTGCTGTTGGTTTTTCTACCACCTGGGAGACAGGGGTACCTCGATGTTGAGTCGCAGCCATGTGTCAGCTGTCAGCGTTGAAGCTTGAGTTTGCCATTTCCACTACGAGACCAATCCCTGCCCCCTTCTCCTCCTTCTCGTCTTCTTTCCTCCTCCTTCCCGAAATGGGCGCCCAACCCGAACGAAAAGAAGCAGAGCAAAGCAAGCCAAAACGAAGCAAGAAGGGCCCCAAGTTGGGTTTCCGCAGGCAAAGCCTGAACGAAGAAACAAGAAAAGCAGGGGAGCCAAGGTTTAGGGTCTCCTGCGAGGGCAGCAACCCTGGATAGCTACACACAGCACCTCGAAGGTGAGGACCCAGAAGAGGAGCAGGCCATCCCTAAACGGGCGAAGGGAAGGAACCAAACCGAGAAGGAAGTCCAGGAAGAAGCAAGGACAGCGAAGAAGAAAAGGAGGAGGAGGAGGGGAGAGGAGAAAGAGGACAAGGACTCGATCTGATTTCGATTTGACTTGCATCCCTGCACTCGAATCACCCCACTCGATAGTGCCACTCGAATGCGGAGTGTATTTCTCCCTCGGGCGGAGGACGAAGATCGGCATCGTGAAGAGGATAACGCCGCCATCCAGCAAGAACACCAGCAGCCACCGGAAGAGCAAGTAGACGTCAAGCTAAGCTGCGCGAGGATAACGAGGAGCGTGACAAAAACGAGACTGGGAGGAAGGAGAAGCCATCCCTAAACGGGCCATGAGTGGAGGACGGACAAGCTGTCAACGAAGAAGGCGAACAACGCAACTCAACACAATCTTAAAAGTGTTCTGAGGAGATTCCCTGTATTGCTTTCAATCGTCTATTACACAGGTAACGGCAAAGCCGTCCCGGGGCTACACGATGGATGCGCCGAGGGTGTCCGCGAAGGGATGAACACACTCAAGCTCCTGGGCGAGAAACACATTCATCACCAGCTCACTGGTTGGGTGTCCTTGAGACGAGGCGCAGCGTGCAACCTTCAATACGGCGCAGAACGTGAGGCTCGTCGGCGTTCGGCTTGGCGGTTCCGATGTTCGTGCAATGTCGGGGGTGCTGGAGCCTATTTTTGGATGGGAATTCCACTTTGGCAGCACAAAACGAGTTTTTCTCACGACCATTTTTGAAGTCTCTACTGAAGAGCCATTAGCAGCAGGAGCCTTAGAAGCGATATGGCCCCTAGTAGCCACTATAAGTTTGCAATGATTCCTTTGGTGGTTGCTCCTCATGCATGAGGACAAGGAGCGGCGTTTTTTTTTTTTGTGTGTGTGTGGGTCTCTGTGGGTGTTTGTTGCTTTGACGTGACGTGATTTGTTTGAAGAAAGCTGGGAAACGGCGGTGCTCCGAATGTCTTGGTGGTTCCGGCATGACATTGGAACAAAGCTGTTGTCCTTAAGCATACGTAGATCAGTCAGCTTGGTATGTGGCTAGAAGAAGAAGCGGCAAGTTCAGAATATGAGCACGGATCAGTCTGTCTCCTTGGACCACTGAGACCATATTTGAAAGTCGGCCACGCAAAACAAAGTATCTGTCTTTCACGCTTTACATTACAACAAGTGGGGCCGCGTTCTGAATATATATATATATATATATAATATTATCATTAATATAATATATATATATATATTGTACGTATGTTACGCATTTGTGTGATCAGCTTCTGGATGTTGGCGCATATGTTGAGCACCGGTCAGGTTTCGCAGCAAGACTGGTAGGTGTTCCCACCGAATTGGCCTTGGACACCTGAGAAAGTTTCGCTTCGTGCGGGCACCGCCGTCTGCCTGATTCGTCGCATTGGCACGACATCAAACCGCAGTTGAGCCTGAAACGGCCCAGTCACGCTTCCAACCTGGAGTCTTCACGACCCTTCAATCACGGGGTCATGGATTTGCCTACGATGCCAACGACGTGCAAGCGATAACGTGCCATCAACACCCTTGAGGTTGATAGGTATCATGGGCCCCTTGAAAAAAATAGACAAAGATGGAGGTTGGTTGAAGAACCATGACATGGCCATGAGCTTTGACGGCATGAAGGCATGCCAATCACTCCAGAGGCACTGCGGCCGTCGCCCGAAAAATCTCAAGGTCTCAGAGATCATTCTCTAAGCCTTGGGCTCTGCATAATTTTTGATTCAAGGAACATTTGTTGCAACAACAGCTTCTAACATTTGCCCAGCATTTCTTCTTTCAAGATTAAGCCTCGAAAAGGCATGGCACAAGCATTTGCCAAAGGGCATCCAAAGTGGTCACCAAGCACTTGGGCCGCATGGCCTTGTTGGCAACCAGATGCGAGCATGTTTGCGACCGGAGTTCAATCCACCGTGGCCGTCCCTCGCCATGAGCCATGGAGGGGGAGGTCTTGGAGGCATTGCGGAGGCGCGGGGAAGCGTTTGGGTCAACACTTTGGGACCATGGGAGACTTGTTTACCCTCAAAATCAAACAATGAACGTATTTAGAATCCGAAAATTGGGGTTGAACTTTGACCAAGTAAGAGCAACTTGGTAGAAGGTGGGAGGTGTGAGTCTCCCAAGGGAGCCTATTTATTGATCCTTCTGGCGCTCGGTGAAAGCGGGTGGGTGCCTTTTGAGGTGAAGGGTACCGTTCATGGGGGTGGTTTAAATGGAAGCCAAGTGGCTGTGGGTCAAAACCAATGGTACCATTTTGGGGTAGGTGCACCACCCATTTGTCTATTTTAGTGGGGATTGCCACGCGTGGAGCACTGCTTAGCGCCTTTGTTGAAGCGGGGAGGCACTTGTAGCCTGTTGGTATTCGGGCCTTATTTGAAGGGGGCAGGGTTGTGCACACTGTATTGTTTCATGAACTCTGGCTCGCAAGAGGATAAACCCTGCATTTGTCCAGCAAAACTTGGCACAAGTAGTTGTTTCGGGCTGGAAAAGGCAGGGTTCACCGTCTTAGGCCAGATTTCACGAACAAAACACAGTGTTTGCACACCTCCCCCTCTTTCGAACTCAAGTAAGGCGTCAAGCTGCACATTCAGTCAAGGACTGAAGGAGTTGACTCACGGGGCGATGGTCGACATCAACATGGCTTTCTGGCAAGGCTACGTATTAGCAAACCATTGGGCTCAGACACCTTCCAGAATCCCTGGGGGGGAGGGGGTTCGTCAACTGTGGAAAATGGTGGCTTCCTTTTGGTTTCCCTTTCTACCAGGCTGAAACGTTACCCTCAAAATCACACGCACCCACGCACACGCACTCGCATTTAGTTTACGAGCTTACTGGTTCCCAGGGTAAAAGGAACGAAATCCCATGACTGTCCCTGAGTTGGGCACTTGCAAACAAGTGGCTGGGCTCTGATGGTGGACCTGAATATTTTACATGCCGAACAAGACGTGTTTTTTTGGGTGAGGGTGGCCCTTTCAGGTTGGTTTACACGGACACCAAAATGGACAACTCCCCCCCCCACTCCCCCCCCCCCCTATTCTGACACATATCCGCACGGTGCCATGTCGCGAGGCTTTACAGCGGCGACGCCTCTGCGAGCTGTGCACTGGAGGCGTTCCAGAACTCCCCAGGCGCATCACAGACCTTGGGCTTTTGGGATCTCTGGTTTGATTTGAGATGTTACGGTTGACGAAGTATGAAGCAGAATCTGAGCAGCTTATTTTTTGCTGTACCAAAAGGTGCTGAACATATATTTGTCAAGAGTAAGCCCCCCTAAAAACATGAGTCATAGTTTGGTTTTGGAGCACCCCACCTCATTCCGATGTCGCCTTTTATTTCCTGGGCCACGACACCTTTCCTCCAGGATCGGATCGATGCTCTCAGCTCCCAGGCGCGCTGGAGGTTTCTGCGAAGCTCCTGCAGTCCACCTCTCCGGAGGTGAGATCGATAGAGACGCAGGAGGCTTCTCCAAAATCGGCTCCCAAAAGTGGCCCGCCGTGTTCTGGTGGCTTCCCAAATCACTCACCGGAGCCTTCATTCCCATGAGCCGAAAGCATGCGATCCGAAGGAGGTCATGTGTAAGCTTGCTTTTCTGGGTTCCTGAACTTTACTCACTTGTTGGGCACGGACCGTTCTAGTGGTGAGCAAAAGTGTGGTTGCCTTTTGTTTGGCCAAGCCACTAGAGCGGGAGTGAGCATACCAAAGGGGTCCACCATTTTCATGCAGACCGATTGAATTGCGCACCTTTGTGGTGAGTTTCCCCTGCCAGCCACATTTGGTAGCCTTTCTGGGGGCTGGGGTTTTCCGATCGGCGATGTGGTCGCGAGTTGGTGGATCCAATGCACACAGACACGGGATGTGCATTTGGGTTTTGAGTGTACCCCTGTTTTGTGGCAAAGGGACGCCAAAAAGGAAGTCCACCATTTTGGGGTGTCCCCAAAAATCCACACGCCCAGTATATGTTCATACTCTTTGTGCATACAAGTAAGTGCGAAGAAGGACATTGGCAAGTTAGAGGTTGTGAATTTGCCCATGCATTTGTGCCATGGTCAAAAGTCCTGATGTGGGTCATGATCATGGTTCGTTTAGGACCTTCAAGAATTAGCCGGACAGCTTGAATTGCCTTGAGTGCACCACTGCTCAATCGTGCCAGCCGGGTTGAAGTTTTGCTTTTACTGGGGCCAAGAAAGTGACATCCTCAAGATTTCTCGGGTGTAAACGGAAACCAAGCCAAAAGGCATTTTGCGAAACATCCTTGCGGAAAGCCCGAGACAAATGATTCGGTCTGTGTCTTCTTTTCAGGGACCCAGTTGCTTTTGGTGGTAAAGGGAAAGCAAGAGGACAACCCACCATGTTGGGGGAATCAGCAGGAAACCACAACTGACTTTTTTTTCCCGGGGGGGGGATCCCCTGAAAAAAAAGATGCCAATGTGATCCGCTCGCTGGCCAGGTCCAGTTTTTTGGAGCCTCGACGATCCAGCGCATCGTCAGCCTCACGCGAGAGCGGGCCGTGGGTCCGTGGGTTGGCATGAGAGCGCCTTCCCATTTGGGTGTGTTTTGTTTTAGTAAGCCCTGGGGTTCAAACCACCGTTAAAACAATGGGGGTTCATAGAACCACCATTATCTACCTAAGAATTGTCATCATCTAAATTGGGTCAACATTTGTTTTAATGGGGGTTGAACCCCAGGGTAAGGGGACACCCAAAAATGGTGGTGCTCCTTGTGGTTTCCCCTGTTTTCCTTTTGGCTTCCCTTTAAACCACAAGAAAGAGAGCACCCTCAAAGAAAGACACGCCCACTGCGAAACGGACCGGAGAAGTGACATGGCTCATGAGGGAGACTGAGAGGTGGTTTCACTGGAATTTGTGGGCCACACGACATTACCAGTACGTAGTAAATACACGGTCACGCGACTTGACGGAGCCACGAGCAACGTGCAGGTAAAACGACACCTTGCTTGATCGGGGGTCGTCATCTTTTGCATGGGGGATGCTCTGAAGCGCAACCCGCGGGAAGGCCATTTCGGATTTTGGTCGCTGCTCCAGGAGTTTTGGGCTGGGTCTGTCGAGCTGTGCAGGACCATCAGGTCTCAGATATCGATTGGCTGCTGTCGGAGGCTTCGAACCCGCGCGCGAGCTGGCTATGTTGACTGAGTTAGTAAGGCGTATCCATGTACCATGGTGTTCCATTGGATGTGAGTTTCCTTTCCGCTTGAAGGGTGTGGGGAATTGTCCATTTTTCTCCCTGGGGTCCATCATGGTGGTTTTCCGTGTTCCAATGGTAACCCAAAAATGGACATCAACTCAACACAAGACACTCATAGCTGTTTCTCAAAATAGGGCCCCTTGCATGGTTTTAAGTGAAAACCAAAAGGACACCACCTGAAGGAATTGGCGCCTAATTTTGAGAAACACCATTTTTATTTTATGCCAAAAAAGGTATAGCCTGTTTGGACCAGGTAAACCGCCCGTTAGGCTCCTGTATGAGGCAGGCAAACCTGACTCACCCATGCAGAGCGCGCCTTTGCAGTTGGTTTCCCAACACAAACCGCCCAAAAGATGGCACCCTTCGCCTTCAGAAAAGACACAACTTCCAGCACCCCTCCCAACCTTTTTCCCATGTCCAAACTTCCAAGTACTGTTTAGGGCGCGACGACGACTGGCAGGAGGTTTGCCCATGACACACATGGACCGAGCGACACTTCACCACGAGTCTTGACAGCGAATGAGTGTCTAGAAAAGCAGTGGTTGAGTTTTCAACCATGTCCAATAAGTGATCAAACAGCAGTGGTTGGGAGTGCTGGAAGTGATGTGTCTTTTCTGGAGGCGAAGGTACCAGTTTAGGGGTGAATTGTGTTGGGAAGCCAAAACGAAAAGTGGTTGACCGCCGATTTTCGACTCACACTCAATTGGGTCCTCTTGCTGGTTCTCAGGCAATGACTTCCAGGTGGTGGGAATGAACCGGAAGGAGATTCCCTGAAAGGAAACCATCAGCTAGCAACCACACTGGCATTGGGTTTTCATAATTAAACACATAGTAGGTTATTGTTATTGTTTTTTTATATTATATAAACAACACTGTTTCTGTTTTGTTAAACGCAAAAAAAAATACATTTGTTTTGTTTTTTGAACAATAATAAGCAACATAACAATAAATTAATAACCAGTAAACAAAAATGCCCGATTTTTTTGGTATAAACAAAACCCAGAGGCGGCGCGGCTTCCGGGCCCCGCGCGGCGCCAGCTCTGCGCCGCCGCGGCGCTCTGCGGCGCCTCGGCGGGCCACGCGGCGCAGCGGCTGGCGGGGGACTGGGAGGCGCTCGCGGCGTCCGGCCTCCGGGCGGTGGGGTTCGGTCGTTTTGCTTGGGGGTTGGTACCAGGTGGGCCTTTTTCTTTTGAGGGGGGGGGGGGGGTTTGGGTGTGTGTTTTGTTTGGGTCGTTTCTTGGGGTCGTTTTGTTTGGCTTCTTGGGTAGGCTTTAAAGCACGACCAAAAGGGACAGCCACGTTTTTGTTTGAAGCGTGATAGGTGCAGGGAGAAATCAGAATTTGTTGGTTCCCCTCAAATGGACGTTTAGGCTTGGGTTCCTTGGGTTTCCCAGGCAACCTGGGGTCTAGCATGTTGAGAAACTCCCAGATGGGTCTGTCTCTTTTGGGAGAACCCCCCAAAAATGGGGCGTTTTCCTTGTGGTGTCCCTTTCAAAAAGTGATGTGTTTGAATTGGTACATGGCTATTTGGTGGGGTTTAAACAGAACCAAAGGTAAAACCACCATTCCGGAGGGGAGCCCTAAAAGGACACACCCATTTACATGTCCGGTCTAACTGGGATGCGTCTTTTGTGGGAACCCAGTTTGAGCCTGACGTAAACGGCGTTTTACTGTCTTCAACTAGTTGCCCCTGAGGGGCATTTTATTCTGTGCTGAATGTTAGTATGCCCGCATGAACGATTTCTGTTAGTGTGTTTGTTGCATGTGGGTGGCTCGTCTTTTTGAGGACTTGCACCCCCCTAACATGGTTTTCCTTTTGGTTGCCCTTAACAACCGCAAAAGGGTGTACCAGTTCCAAAAAAGGACACACATCTCATCACATCATCAGGACCATGACATTTGATGAAGCCTTTGAAGTTTGAAGGCTGCAGTGACGGGTGGTAGGCCCGCTATGTTTTTTGCAGACACCATGATAGACAGGGTTACTTGTTTTGTTGTGCTGTGGTGCGTTTGAAGTGTTTGTGAAACAAATATCTAAGCTGAAGCTTGTGTTGAGTTGCAAGGATGGCCGTGGCATTTCGGCCTTAGCCAAGAAACTAAGCCTGAACCAACGTGAACCGACAATACATCAACAAGCTGAAGCCAATCCCCGAAGCCCACCCTTGTTACCCGAAACCATTTCTCAAACCAAAAAGCCGAGCCTAAACCCAACCTAACCCACCTTACCCACCTGAATCACCAAACCAATTCCCAAGCCGAGCCTAAACCATTCGCGATTCACAGCCGAGCTCGGAGCGGTCCCCTTTCTCGTTCACAGCTGATGACTCCAAGATCCAAGTGCCAACTTAAGAGCAAAGCCTCCCGCGCAGCTGACGCTTGTGAGCTCGGCGCGACTCGCGCGCGACGCCCTCTGCCATGGATGCTGTGCAGCACAAAGAGGCTGAGCGCCGAGCCACTTGGCGCGCTCCAAGCAAGAGCCATGTGGGTATGTTTTGTGTTGGGGGTTCCGTTTCCTCTTTAGCAAAGGGAACCCAAGAGATTTGTTGGTCCACTCCCAGGCACACGCGCTCAATTCCGCGCGTCTCCGCGCGCGGATTCGCTTTGCCGGAGGCTTCCAAAGGCCACGCTGCAGCGGCTGCTGCAGCTGGAGCCGAGCGCCGCGGCGGTGGCTGAGGCGACGAGAGGCGTCGCTTGGCGGGACCCGCTGGCGGTGCGCACGCTGACGCTCGGAATGCAGACGAGCTCTGCAGGGGGGGGGGAGGGTGCACTCTGCGCAGGGAGGAGGGGGTTTAAGAGAGAAGGTGAGGCGGGCAAAAATGCAGAAACCCGTGCAGCTGCTCAAACAAACCTGTATACCCATATCCGCCCACCTTTCTAGACCAGGGTTCTGTTTGCCCACTGTGATGCCAATGGAAGACCTTCCAAATGATGAAACAGTCTTTTCCCTGGTCCCACAAATCCGCTCTAGACGCATTCTGGCAACCCTCAAATTCAGCTACTGCACCAATGAGCAGCGCGTTGGTACACTCGAACGATGAACCCTTCAAAGGCCGTCCTTGGGTTGCAGGCTTACCCAAGGATAGCCTCCTGCGTCCATCAAAATGACATCCTCAAACTTCCCCTCTAAATTATCTTCTTGGTTGTGTTTTGCTCTTATGTTTATGGTGATTTAACGGAAACCAACCAGATCCCAAAAGCGCTTGTGACCCCTCCAACTGCCTTGCAACTACCCAGTCCCCCCCAAAGGCAAAATAAGCTTGCAATTAATATACATATATCAAGGCTCCAAACCAAAAGTTTCTTTTTGTGTGGTCCCTTCTCGGGATGATTGAACAAAACAATCAAAGAGCAATCCATTTTGAACTGTTTCAATCTTGCCTCGGAAGGCCCTAAGACAGCACGGCCAAGCAAAATACTGTCTTGTCTATCCAGCTTGCTTGGTCATGGGTATGTCTTTTTTGAGTCCCCTTTTGGGGGTGATGTTACGGAGACAACCACAGTGTTGCGGGTCCTCTATCTCAAGACGTACCCACATGGACTGTTGGACACAAGTCTCATTGCACAAAAGCCGGCAACTACAAAGTTGTTTGATCGCTATTTTTTATCGCCTTGTTGCAAAGTCTTCAGTTGTTCTTACACCCTGCCACGTGCGCAATTGACCCCTTGATGAACCAGGCTCCCGAACGGCCGTGCCTTTCCTGTGCCGGTTTGCTTGATCACTTGTTGTTTCCTTGTGGCAAGGCGGTGAGACATTCGGAATTCGCCTGACCCATAGCGACTCTCCCTGCCAATTGAGTCGTTTTGCACCGACGGGCACGTGTACTGAGCGCGTTGACCCGAAGGACTTCTTGGGATCGCAGGTGACATACTGTTGATGGACGAAATCCTGCACCACCCAGCAAACCCTGGAATGATGATTCCCCTGTAACTGCCAACAAAGAATGGTTCCCCATGGTTTCAACTTGGTGCGAATTGGATTTCGTCCATCCACAGTACAAATCCCAAAGATGTGATAGATAGTTTGTGGTAGCGGCTATCGCAGGTATTTTTTCCAGACTTCAGGTGGGCTTCCTTTGTATTGGACGGGGAAACCCTACCAAAAAGAGGCAATCATGATGAGTCATGTATATATCCGAAAGGAACCCATTTGGAATCCATTCAAAGGGCTACCCAAGTGAGTGTGCGTGTGTGTGTGTGTGTGTGTGTGTTGTGTGTGTGTGTTTTGTTCAGGAGCTTGCTCGCGGGACACCGTCGTCCAGACCTTGTGTGGCATTTGCTGCAGATCATGCAGGAGACAGCGTTGGCTCGTTGTCTAAATTTTGGGGTAGCCCCATTTTGGTGGAATTACAAGGGAAACAAAAGCAAAACCACCAGTTTGGGGTCCCCTAAAAGATGCGCATTTGTCTCAAAGTGCTAGATCCCTTTTGGGTTGGAATTTACAGGGAAACCAAAAGGAACCCAAGCCTCAAGGACCATTTTCAGAAACAATGTCAGGGTCATCAAATCCATTTGGGCTCCGAGACATGGACAATCTTCCCTGGTCCTCTTGGGGATAGCTTCCTAGTCTTGACCGTTGCTCATTTGGGTGCAGCGGAGTCGGATGGAGTCCGTATCGGAATCCTTCATGAAACTTCTGCCGATTGCGAGAGGGAATTGTCCATCTCCTTGTGCACTGAGCTATTTTCAGGAAGCAGGGACTTTGTGAGTCCTGCCTTTGTCACCAGCAGAAAGCTCACAATCATGGAACCCCAAACCAGTGTTTTGACACTCACATGCTGGCGAGAAAGATCAGGCCCACCCAAGCGAACAGTCACAACCCGCGCTGGATGGTTTGTCTCAAACTAGGAGAAGTTCGTGGGTTCCAGTTGTCTGGCCTGGAACCGGCCACAAATCGGGCAGCCTCAAAGAAAGAGGCACCGACATATTCAGATGAGATTTAGATCGCCTTGCTTGGAAGGGAGTATCGGCAAAAACCACCAAAGGCATACCATTAAAGAAGAGCATCCCCTCCGGCCGGAAAGTAATATGGCGGTGGTTGTCAAAACCAATGGCAACAATGTTGGGGGATTGGTGAATTCACCACCCCGCTTTGGAACCGATTTTCGTGGGAAATTGGCATGTTCACTGGGGGTACCCTCCGGCCGGTCCAGCTTTCCCGTGAGGAGCAGCGGTTGGCGAGCGGTCGGCACGCGCACATCGGCATCACCGCCCTGGGCCGGGCCTCTGCCTGGCGGAGGGCGGTGGACGTCTTCGAACGCATGGCGGAGCTGCAGATCCCGAGGACCCAGATGGTGGGCGGCGGATGGGGTGACCTGAGGCAGGGAAGAGGCTTCCATTTGCTGAAATGGATATGTTTGATTTTCCCCTGTTGCTTTTAAAGGGAATCTATCACTACTGGAAATATGTTTTTTTTTTTTTTCCCAGGGGACTTAAGCAAATGGAGGGGGGGTCATCTTTTGTGTCCGTGTGAAAAAATCGGCGGATTTCGGCGGATTCACATGACATGTCTTTCTTGCTGTTCTCAGGGAGTGAGAAATGGAATCACCCCTAGAAGCCATCCAAGTGGTTTCCTTTAAGGGGACATCTAGGTTGATTCCGGCATAGGACTTGCTGGTTAGGCCAGGTTCCACTTTTTCCCTACAAGATGGACTTAAAGCCAGGGGCTCTCCTGGGGGGAAGGAACCACTGGGTAAAAGTTTCTCCTGCGGTGTCCGCAGGACTCAGTTGCTTGGTGCGATAGCTGGTCCCCGATTTGGGGATGGGTTGTAGGGGTCATTGGTCACGATCAAAACCCGGGAAACTGGAGGGTAGCAAGGGGCAGTCCCAGCCGTAAATGGCGGCCGCCTTGTGAATTGTTTATATGGTTCTGGGTAGACCATGTTCATACCAGATTTTGAGTATGGCTCAGTTCTTCAAAACGCCCTCAAGGTGTGTGAAGCTTGCTTTGTGTTGAACCCCCTTTTGATAAGTGTTACTCCAACACCCGAGCTCCCGTACTTTAGGCAGTTTTGGGGAGTCTGGAGCATCTTCCCGAGATGGTGTAAACTAGTTGGGAAGTTCTTCATTAAACTGACATTGTTGGTACCCTTTTTTTTGTCGGGGAGGGGGCG